CCTCCCATCCAGGATGGGCAGGGGCCATGGCACCTCAGCCAGGCCCCTTGACTTTCTCTCTGGGTTCTTGGGCTCAGAAATTACATCTAAGCAGAGAAAGAGGCAGAAATGGATTCATCCCAGGGGCAGAGCTGGAACTGGACCTGGGAGCAGTTGCTGCCTTGCAGGCCCCAGGGCTCCATGCTCATATTTTTCTTGGCCTGGCTTCCTCCTTCTGATCCATTCTCTGAGCTACCCATACACATGTAGCAAACTATTCTGCAAGACCACCAGAGCTGATTTCTGTTGCTTGCAAGGAGTAATCCCAACAGAAACCAGACATTCTCTGTGAAGACAGGATGCCCCGAAGTCCTTGTCAAAGGCCACATTCAGCTCCTGACACATGTCTGGATTTTCTGCCACCCTCAAGGGACCAGCATGGCTTCAAGTCCTGCTCCTCTCAGTTTCCAGGGGCCTGACCTCGGGCACTTCCTTCCTCCAAGCCCCTAATTCTCTCACCTGGAAGATGATGCTGTTAATTAAGAAACACAGGATTGGCAGGGCACGGTGGCTCACGCCTATAATCCCAGCACTTTGGGAGGCCGAGGCAGGCGGATCACCCGAGATCAGTAGTTCAAGACCAGCCTGGCCAACATGGTGAAACTCCATGTCTATTAAAACTACAAAAAAATTAGCCGGGCGTGGTGGTGCATGCCTGTGGTCCCAGCTACTCGGGAGGCTGAGGTTGCAGTGAGCCGAGATCCACCATTGCACTCCAGCCTGGGTGTGCAATTTGAGACTCCTCTGTCTCAAAAAAAAACAAAGAGTCCTGGACTGTGAGCTGTTGTGAGCTTCACCAGTGTCGGCACAGGAGGTATTCCATAAATGTGAGTTAACGTTGTTCCTGTCACCATTGTTATTGCTATTGTCCTACCAGCCTGAGTAGCTGAGCCACAGTAGGGTCGAGACTCCTGACCGCTGCATCACTCTCAGGGACACCTTGTGCCATCCCTCACTGGGGTCCTCGCCAGCTGTGTGTCACACTGAGGTAGGGCTCCAGCAGGAGTCTCAGAACTGCTGAGCAGCTACCAGGGCTCAGATGCAGCCTGGCCCTCCCATTAGGCCCCGTGTTAGCAACTTCATTCCAAGAGACACCCTTCTAGGAGTCATGGGAACCAATATGCGGGCAACCAGGCCAACTTCGGAGCCCAGGCGAGAACGCTGTCGCAGCTTCCTGGTGACTGGAACGAGACTGCGTGCCCATCCTCCACTATTCAGCGACAGCAGCTGTGACGGTAGGCACGGGGGAGCGGTTTCCTTTTGATGGTCCCGGGGTCCAAACATCACCCTGGTTACTTCCCACTCCTGCAGTTCAGAGGCACGGCCCCTTCCAAATCCAGCCACCAGGGGGAGTCTGTGAGCAGCCCCCGCCACTCTGCGGGGGACTCCAGGCCTCCCCTGGGCTGAGAAGGGAGGAGGCTGCGGAACCGGCCACCCCACCGGGTAATCTGGGGCCAGGGCAGTGAGTGCACTGGTGGTGTGAATGGAGCAGACTCCCCAGCTTCCCCCGCGGACCCCCTACCCCAAAGATTTTATTTCCACCTGTATTTTAAAAATAATATTAGGCTTGGCGCGGCAGCTCACACCTGTAATCCCAGCACTTTGGGAGGCCGAGGCGGGCGGATCACCTGAGATCGGGAGTTCGAGACCAGCCTGACCAACGTGGAGAAACCCTGTGTCTACTAAAAATGCAAAATTAGCCGAGTGTGGTGGCGCATGCCTGTAATCCCAGCTACCTGGGAGGCTGAGGCAGGAGAATCGCTTGAACCCGGGAGGTGAAGGTTGCAGTGAGCCGAGATCATGCCATTGCACTCTAGCTTGGGCAACAAAAGTGAAACTCTGTCTCAAAAAAATAAAATAAAATAAAAACATTAAATATATATATATTTTTAATTACAAAAGCAACTCATGGTCAATTCATGACGTGGGTGTTCTGGGTTTTCTGGCTTGTTTTACTTTGCTGTATGTTTCAAGATTTCCTGAGTTTGGGCTATGGGGCCGAGGAGGGTCCCTGCCTCTGGGTTTCAGTTTCCCCTGGGTGCTTGTCTGGAGGTCCTAGTGTTCCCTTGAGTCTCCCTGAGTTCTCAGGGAGTTGTTAGAGTCTCTTTCTTTGATGCTCAAGGCTGGTTCCAGGAAAGGTGGGACAGAGAGGACCAAACCCCAGCCTCTGCTCCCAAGGCCTCTGCCCCTCCCGCAGGAGCCCTCACTGTCCTCCCTCCCCTCTGAGGGCAGGCTCAGCTCAGAGTCTCTGCTATTCCGGGCACATCATGACCCCACGCCCTGTCCAGACGGTATGATTCTTTTATTTATTGATTGATTGATTTGAAACAGGGTCTGGCTCTGTCATCCAGGCTGGAGTGCAGTGGTGCAATCTCAGCTAACTGTAGCCTCCACCTCCCAGGCTCAAGCCATCCTCCCACCTCAGCCTCCCGAGTAGCTGGGACTACAGGCATGAACCACCATGCCTGGCTAACTTTTGTATTTTTTGTAGAGATGGGGTTTTGTCATGTTGCCCAGGCTGGTCTCAAACTCCTGGGCTCAAAGTGATCCGCCCACCTCAGCCTCCCAAAGTGCTGGTATTACAAGCATAAGCCACTGTGCCAGGCTGGTGTCATTTTTTTTTTTTTTTTTTTTGAGATGGAGTCTCGCTCTGTTGTCCAGGCTGGAGTGCAGTGGCATGATCTTGGTTCACTGCAAGCTGTTTCTCCCAGGTTCATGCCATTCTCCTCCCTCAGCATCCCGAGTAGCTGGGACTACAGGCGCCCACCACCACACCCGGCTAATTTTTTTGTATTTTTTAGTGGAGACGGGGTTTCACCGTGTTAGCCAGGATGGTCTCGATCTCCTGACCTTGTGATCCGCCAGCCTCAGCCTCCCAAAGTGCTGGGATTACAGGCATGAACCACTGCGCCTGGCCTGGTGTCATTTTTTAACTTCACACCAACTGACACCTTTGGTTCTCTGGATGCTCTGGCACCTGCCGTGGCAAGAGAGGTCTACTCCCCTCTGCACGAGCCTCACAGTTCAGCTCCCCGCCAGCCTTCGAGCTGGTGCCCTGAGTCCTTCGAGACTTTCTGTGGGCGCAAAGGAAAGGCCCAGACAGCATTTCTCACGCTTGAAAATGCAGACAAACTGTGAGCTTGTCTCAGGTATAAGTCCCAGCAGCTAAAGGGTTGTTTTTAAGTGCTTCCCCCCTGCAGATTTGAATCTCATCCTCAAACCTAAAACGAAATGTTTACCAGCGCGCCACCACACAAGCGTGAGTAGTTCAGGCACAGGCCAGAATACCACACTATCTTGTAGCAGGAGGAGCCGAGGCAGAAAGCCTTGAGACTTCTGTCCCTCCCCAGTTTGAGGTCCTAGGAGCAGGGCTGAGCAAGAGGCACTAGGAGCACTGCTCAGCTCCTAGGTAGAGGTAGAAAGGCAGGCTCATCTCTGAGGGCCTGGGGCTTCCTCAGCTCCTCAGTTCCCACCTTCTCAGAACCAGGCACCAGGCACCAGCCCCAGGGGTAGATTGGAGGGACCCTCCCGGTCCACCGTGAGTCCTGGCCTGGGTCCCGAAATCCACCACAACGGGCAAGTTACGTCACTAGGGCCCAGCCTGCTGCAACTGAGGAAACCCCCGCCCCAACCAAGGGGCTGTGAATTTCAGAAGGGGAGTTTTTGGCCACAGAACCAGTCCCACAATGAATCAGGGATGAGGAGAGAGGCCCCATGAAAGCCCTTCCCCTCATCCCTCATCTGTCTCTGCCAATATGCCAATTTTCCCAGGCCACTACAAGCCCCAAGAAGGGAGGTGACTTGCTTACAGTCAACGGGTGCAGGGGTGCTGGCAGCTGCCCACAGTGGGCGCGCATCCCTGAGCGGGTGAGAATTCTGGAGGGAAGGAGAATGGATGGATCACCGCACAAAGGGTCTTGTACATGCAGGGCGAGAAGCACCAAAGCTCCACATAGAACATGAACAAGAATCTCCAGTTTATAAGGGTGCCCTCTCCCCAAGATGCTGCCCTCCGAGCTAGGTCCACCCTGGGGGCCCCTCAGGCCTGTTGGGGATAGGGACAGGGAGGCAAGGGATGCAGGGTGGGATTGCTTTTAACCCCCCCGCCCCCACCTACCTCCTGCTTCAGCTTTTTCCAAAACCATGGACCAGGAGGAGAAAGAGGAGAAAAGGAGACAAATTCTAAAATTCTAAAAACAAAAGACCAACTTGACCACGACGGGGAAACCCTTTAAGATGTCGGTAATAACAGAGCAGTGAACAAAGACTAAAAACAGCAAAACTGACAAGGAAAACCGCAGGGGCCCACCAGTGACCCCAAAGCGAGGAGATATACTTTCACCACTTACAACGGATGCACTCGGAGGAGCTGCCCTGCCACGCCCGATCCCAGACAGCTCTGAAGTCTGCAGGCATGGGGGCAGGGGTCCCAAGCGGTTCCTTGATGCTATCTCCCATAAACAGCATGCTATTCCCCGCAAGTGAGGCAGCACTCTGATGCCCCCACCTTGGGACAGTGACTTGGACCCATCTAGCCTACCTCCCGAGAGCTCCTGAGAGCATGGCCCTGTCTAGCCCTGGCACCCAGCAGAGGCTGGGAAATAACTCGCTCCATGAATGGATGACCATCAGCAACCCTGAGATGCCCCACCTCCACCAGAAGCTCTGCAGCCCCAGGCTCTGTCCCCCTGCTGGCTGATAACACCACCCCCAGTGATCTCCTAGGAGCTCCTCTGTGTTAAATGAGGCCAGGGGAGGCCTCCAATAACTTGGGGTTCCTGCTGCTCCCCACTATCCTCACAAAAGGAACAGGGCGAGCTCTCTGTAGGTTGCAGAACTAGAGTCAGTTTGGAGCCCCAAAACTTTGGAGCCCAAAAGCTTGAGTTGTATGACTTAGGCGAGTCACTTCCGCTCTCTGAGCCGCAGTTTCCACGTCTGTAAAATGGGGTTAAAAGACCTACCTCTCTGGGCTGCTGTGAGGATGAGATGAGATAACACACAGGAAGGTGTTCCCACTGCGTGAGTGTTCCCAGTCATTCTTAGGGCCAAGAGGTATTTACTGGACATCTGCTCTCTGCCAGGCCCTGGCTCTGCCCAGGGGACCCAATCATGAGTAAGACGGCGGAGTCCTGTTGGGACAAAACAGAAAATGAGAGTGAGCAAAACACCCTAGGCTGCAGCCACCACCCACACCCAGGGAAGCTGCACGGGGACCCGGGTCTCCCAGCTCCTGTGCCTTGGTCCTGGAGGCCATCTGGGGTGGCCCTGCTCCCTTGGCAGTGCCCCTACCCAGGCAAACACAGTCAAGCCCTGATCTGGCTTTGGGAGCTGCCCACACCAGAAACCCCCTCTCTCTAGAACCCCACAACGGAGCTTACTCAGCTGGAGGGAACAGGGCTGCAGTTTGCCATCGGAGTCACCCAGTAAATTAGTCAGAGGAATCTCTCCGGCCTGAGGGGGAAGGGGCCCTTCTTGGTTCACCCCTCATCCCTCTGCCGGCTGATGCGCTGTTGGTCAAAAGTGATCCAGTAGACGCTTCACCTCCGTAGAGAGGTTGCAGCCCCGGAATAGGCAGAGCTGAGTGGTGGAGAGCCCCGGTCCTGGAGACAGACCATCCTGAGTTTCAACCTTCGCTCTGCCTTTTACCAGCTGTGTGACCTCAGGCAAGGAACTTGACCTTCTTGGGTCCACTTTCCCTAATAATAGTCATTCTAAGCTCATGAGGATGTGGTAAAGACCAAACAAGGTAACTGATGTGAAGCCCCTTGCATAATACCAGGCATAGGTGAGCTGGGCAGTTAATTTGTATACATTTAACAAACACAGGACCACAAACTCTTCCAAGTACGTTAAAAACAGTAGCCAGTTTAATCCTCACAAGAATCCAGTGAGACAGGCAGTGTTGTCATCCTATCTTTTTTTTTTTTTGAGACAGAGTCTCGTCCTGTCGCCCAGGCTGGAGTGCAACGACGTGATCTCGGCTCACTGCAACCTCTGCCTCCTGGGTTCAAGCAATTCTCCTGCCTCAGCCTCCCGAGTAGCTGGGATTACAGGCATATGCCTCCACGCCCAGCTAATTTTTGTAGTTTTAGTAGAGACGGAGTTTCACCATGTTGGCCAGGCTGGTCTCGAACTCCCGACCTCGTGATCCACTCGCCTCGGCCTCCCAAAGTGCTGGGATTACAGGCGTGAGCCACCATGCCCAGCCCGTCATCCTATCTTACAGATGATATCGAAGAGGGTAAGTGACAAATAGGGTAAGTGACTTACAAACAAAAAAAGGATGACCTGCCAAAGCCACAGAGCTACCAAGTGGTGGGAGCAAAATGGAAACCCAGGCTCTCTTCTCTTCTGTTTCTTCCCATCCTTCTCCTTCCAGTTCCTGGTTTTAGAAAAAGTTGAAGCCCGTGAGGGGCATCTGGCTTAAGAATAATCCCTCCCTCCGGTCTCTGTCCTCCCTGGCCCCAGAAGGCCTAAGGCTACCAGCCACTACACTAGGCTGCCTCTCCAAAAAGAAGGTGATGTTGTCGGTATGAGGCCCCCCTGAGATCAGACTCTTACAATGACCACCCCTGCTCCAACCTCCTGCCCCAGTTTGGAGCCAGAGGTGTCCAAACCTTTGCCCTCACACTCACCTCAGAGCCTGCAGCTGGTCAGATGCCTGCAGTAGGCTCAATTAGGCCAAGCGATGGGCAGAGCCACACAGGAAGTAGAAGGGACTGCCCACAGCCTCAGAGGGGCGAGGAGGGCAGACAGCCCCTCTGCAACTTCCCTCCCTAGAGAGCCCCCAGCCTCTGCTCACACACCTCTGGTGACAGGGAGCTCACTGCCTCTGCTGCAGTCCGGGCAGGCCATGGCTGGCCAGCTCTGACTGCTAGACGTGCTTCCTCAAGCCGAGATGAAATCTCTCTGTGTAATTTCCTCCCATTAGTCCTGTCTCTGCCCCCAGGCCCCCACATGGCCAGCCGGCTCCTCCGGCCTGCAGACATCTGGAGATGGCCATCTCTTGGCAAGAGGAGTCACCACTCAGGCTGAACGTCCTGGCAGCCTCAGCCTGGCCTCAGAAAGCAAGATTCCTGGTGCCCTCCCACCCTGGTCCCCACTCCCCACCCATGACCCTTGCAAGATTGCAGGATTGCAAAGGCAGCTGCTTGCTCAGGCAACAGATGCTAAGCACCATAACAGGCCTGGTTCTGAGCTCAGCCCTGCTGCCTGGGAACAATAATAGTAAGTGACAACAGTCACCACTCAGCAAGTATCTACTCTGCCCTAGACATTGGGCTAAGTACTCTACAAGCAGGAACTCATCCCATCTTCCCAGCTATTTGAGACAAGTATCACTCTTACCCCCACTCAACAGATGAGAAAAAGAAGGCTCCAAGAAGGAGGTGGCTTGCTCAAGGTCCTGCTCACACTGAGTAAGTGGAGAAGCTGAGTTCACACCCAGGCTGTGAGTTTCAAGCTCAGCTCTTGACCAACAGAAAACAAAGACACAGCAGCAGAGGGACAGGAGACTCACTCACAGGAAACAGAGGCCAACAGCTCAGGATATGATGGTGGCTTCAATTCTAAAGGCAACGAGGTTCCTGAAGGAGAAAGGATCTCTGTGGACCTGGGGAGGCAGGGAGGCTTCCTGGATTAGGGAGAGACCAGGGATGGGCCTTAAAAAGACAAAGACGCCTCTGACTGCAGAATGCCCAGCTAACAAATGAACTGGAAACCCGTCCGTCCCCACTCCCAACCCCCACACAGTGAACCATTATGCAACAGCCCTATCCCCTGGGCAGAAAGCATTTATTAAGTGCCACAGTATGCTTGGCCCATGTTAGTATTCAGCAAGGGCACAGATGAAGGTGCCATGATCCCAAGAAGTGAGAATCCATTTGGGCAGGAGGGAGGCCTGGTTAGAGGTGTGGTAGGCAGTGACTACAGGATCTGGTATAGGTCCTCGTCAAATTTATCCTGCCCACCACATCCTGTTGCTCCTTCCCCTACTACGGTTGTCCTGGGCTGGAGAGGGGTGAATATGGAATAAGAGGGTGAGCTTTCCTTGGGGCACTGAGCCAAGAAAGTCTTGAAGCCCCATGCAAGGCAGTGGGTCACATACTGGGAGGTAGTCTATTCTAGGAGAGGGGGCAGACAGGGAGAACCAGTGTCCTGGGGAGGGAATGCTTGGAGGAATTGTCCCAGGTGGCAGGGATTGGAGGACTGCAGGAACTGGGACATGAAAAGGTGCCACTCTAGGCAAGGTTCAATGGATGGCCACACTCTCCCCCAGGACCTAGTTCACCTAGGTCCCAGGGACCCTATGGGGTCAAAGTCCACCATCACCCAGAGTGTGGCTTACTGCCCCACCTGAAAAAGGCCACATCATCTTTAATCCCTCTTCTCTCCTAGGCTGACCTAGGACCTCCTTCCTCCAGGAAGTCCTCCCTAACTGCCATGTTGTGTGCCATGACATGCATAAAACAGCCAGGAGGGTTTCTGAACCCCTGGCTCTCAAAGCCTCTTTTGGGCCTGATGTCTTCCACAAGATGGTGAGTTGCCTGACGGCAGGTAGGGGGCCTGCTAACTACTCCCTGGATTCTAAGTGATCACTGCTATGGATGATCCATCCTTCCATTCAGCCATCCATCCAAAAACTTCTGAGCACTGCAGGTTGCCAGTTCTGTGCCAGGCCCTAGGGATAAGCAACAAAGCCCTGTATAGCCCTGTCTCAAAAAGCAATATTGATAGTTCTTTCTCAATAAGACATTCCTCTCTCAATGTGTCTGAGGCTGTCTCCCCAGCCCGCATAGGATTTAGTGCGGGCGCATCCCTCTGTGAAACTGCAGGCGACTCCCATGTGAACACTGGGCTTTGGTGTGCTCCACCTCCTGCTGCATTTGTGACGCCTCTTGTCTCTCACCTCCAGTCTCAAAGCCGTAAGCTCTTCATGGCATCCTTAGAACTTAGAGGCACCTGGCCAGACACAGTGGCTCACGCCTATAATCCCAGCATTTTGGGAGTCCAAGACAGGTGAATCACCTGAGGTCAGGAGTTTGAGACCAGCACGGTCAACATGGGCGAAACCCTGTCTCTACTAAAAGTACAAAAATTAGCCAAGCGTGGTGGCGGGCGCCTGTAATCTCAGCTACTGGGGAGGCTGAGGCAGGAGAATCACTTGAACCTGGGAAGCAGAGGTTGCAGTGAGCTGAGATGGTACCACTGCCCTCCAGCCTGGGCAATAAGAGCGAGGCTCCATCATCTCAAAAATAAAAAATAAATAAAATAAATAAATAAAAAATAAAAAGAACTTAGAGGCATCTGCAGTTTCCAGGTGAATTTGGGCCCAAAGAAGGCAGAGGACTGACTTGAGTTCACTCGGCAAGCCAGTGTTGGGTCAGGGACCAGGACATAGGCTGGCACTCCCAACCCCTAAGACAACGAGTATACCTGGCAGCCTAGGACCTGGCACACAGTGGCCACTCCACGCTTGCCTTTGCTGTCGCCACCTTGGTGTCTCTGACTCTAGACCCCTTCCTGGGGAAATTCAAGCCTAATTTTTCCTTCTGGTGAGGGAACCCCAATCCCATTCATCGGGAACAATGGCTGGCACAATGCGGGAAAAATAACCCATGGGGAATAGTCCTAACAAGCCCTGTGAACCTCTGGGGCAGCTCTTCTCATAATTTGCCCGTCACCTCTCAAGCCAATTTGGCCAAATTTCCTTAGGATTTCATCAGGAAATATGAACTGCCAATTTTGTTATTAAGTCTTTATTTTAATAACAATTCTTGGTTATTGCATGAAGTCCGAGGGATGGAGCAGGAGGGGAGAACCCACAGAAGAGTCCTTCCTTCCTTATGAAGAAAGAACTGACCCCAAAGCCCCCTTGCTTCATTTTTTTTTTTTTTTTTTTTTGAGACGGAGTCTCGCTCTGTCGCCTATGCTGGAGTGCAGTGGGGATCTCGGCTCACTGCAAGCTCCGCCTCCCGGGTTCACACCATTCTCCTGCCTCAACCTCCAGAGTAGCTGGGACTACAGGCGCCCGCCACCATGCCCGGCTAATTTTTTTTTGTATTTTTTTTTTAATTTATTTTTTATTATTATACTTTAAGTTGTAGGGTACATGTGCATAACGTGCAGGTTTGTTACATATGTATACTTGTGCCATGTTGGTGTGCTGCACCCATCAACTCGTCATTTACATCAGGTATAACTCCCAATGCAATCCCTCCCCCCTCCCCCCTTTTTTGTATTTTTTAGTAGAGACGGGGTTTCACCATGTTAGCCAGGATGGTCTCGATCTCCTGACCTTGTGATCCGCCCGTCTCGGCCTCCCAAAGTGCTGGGATTACAGGCTTGAGCCACCGCGCCTGGCCCCCCTTACTTCATTTTAAGGGCAGCTGCCTGGTACCTGATGCAGAGTAGCAGCATCCCAGCAATTGTGTGTGCTTGCTTTTCTGTAGGTCACAACCACCTACATGCACACACACGGACACATACGCCTCAACAAACAGTGAAAGTACACAAAGTTTCCAGAAAGCAAACTGTGTTTCTAGTAACAAACCACAGTCTACCTCTAGGACCTGTGACCGGGTTTTGCCCTGAGAGGATGCTCCATGGGAAGTGCTCCTGCCCAGAGCCAGCAGCCCAACCTCCAGGCAGCTTTGGGCAAGCCCCAACAGGATGCCAGGCGGGCTGGTGAGCAGGAAGAGACGCCGCTCACAACCTCTCCTTGCTGTAATTTACTAAATCCATCTGGGGCTCCTTTGAGCCGTTTTCTGGAAATGCCACATTTCAAGGGTCTCCCTGTTAGAAAAGGTCAGAGAGTTTATGCGGGCCTTTCATGTTAAAGGAGCTTGGAAGAAAAGGAAAGGAAATGTATATTTTCAGCTTTAGCCATGATTAAGTGGGCTCAGGCCATGAGAACATTCAGATGATTTACATGATGTTACATGAAGAGCCAATTAGCCTAACAACTTCCAAAAAATATCTCCTTCAAGAGCACCCATTAGACACTTGGAATGCACCAGGCGCTGTGCTAAGCTCTTCACTAGGGTACAGTGATTCATCTCAACTGCACTCCAACAGAGCAGGGCAGGCCCGCATATGATACCCATTTAACCTATGGGGAGACTGAGGCTCAGAGAGGGTCAGCAATCTGCTGGGGGTCCCACAGCTAGTAAGTGGCAGGGCAGAGATGGAAACTTAAGACTGCCCAAATCTAAAGCTGGAGCTCTTTTGCTCCAACAGCCCTCAAGCCTTGGGAGTCCTGACTTAGTCCTGTTTCCAGCATCTGAGTAGTGCAAGTTCATTAGAATGAAGATGAAGCCTTATTAAATCACCAGCTCTGGCCTGGTCTGGATGAATCCAGAAGACTTTGGGGTCTCCTTGCAGCTGGTCCTGAAACTCCCTGGTCACCTCCAGGGGGGCAACTACAGCAGATTCCACTCACTACCCTGTGGAAGAACCCCAGTGTCTATCATCTCTGTATGTGATCTGAGTCAATTCCCAGAACAGGTGGCCTCGGGTGGACTCAGGAGAGAGACGGTACACGCTGAGATCTGTCTGGCTCAGGGGAGAGATTCTAAGCCCTCTCTGCCAGCAAAGGTCTTGGGCCACCCTATACAGACCACCAAGATGATTCCCTAATCCTGTAGATGGCCCCCCTCATGCAACATGAGCCACCCAGAAAGTCAGGGCTCCAGATTAGTGACAGCTCATTTGTCAGCATTTATCTGCCAAGACCACAAAGCAAATAAGGACTCCCTCTGGAATTTTAGGGATCATAATGGAACACTGGAGTGACAGTTAGGGTGTGGGCTCAGGAGTCAGACTGCCTGGGTTTCGAATTCTGACACCTTTATTTTCAAGCTGTGAGAACTTAGGTGACTTAACCTCTCTGAGCTTCAGTTTCCTCATTAGTCAAATGGGGATACGAGTCCCTATGTCATAGGGTTGGTGTAATGACTAAATGAGATAATGTGTGTGAAGCTCTTGACAGGATGCCTGGCACATAGCAATCACTCAGTATATGAGGTTGGTCATTGTGCAGATGATGGCGAAGGAATCAGTGCTGCCTGGACAAGGGGCTCCTGCGGGGCTGCACCAACTTCTGGGGAACAAGTCAGAGCTCTTGTTCCTTCCCAGCTTTCCAAACCCTCCTAAGCCATCCAGGCCCACATGAAATCTACCTCCTTCGGGAAGCCACCCTGACTACTCCAGTCCATGCTGATCTCACCATATCTGAGCTCTTTCTGTGCACTATCTGTATAGACTACTCTAGCACCTAAATTGGCTCTAATAACTCTTTAGCTTCTCAAAGCAACCAAAGGCTCCTGGAAGGCAGACACCTCTAGTCCTTCCCTCTCCACAGCCCAAGCCAGGGCTAGGTACACAGTAGATGATCCCTTAGCAAGCCTTCAGACTGATTTCAGTGTGGCTGTGGATGCCTGTGACTCAGCCTTTCTCTCCCTCACTCCTCCTCACAGCCCTACTCTCCCTACTCACCCACCCTCTCCTCTGGTTCCAGCCAGCAGGGTGGGGAGTTGGAGCTATGACCCCATAGGATAGTTGTTCCCAGACTATAAAATGTCCAAAGAAACTTGAGGGTGGGGGAGTTAACAGATGGGGAAAAAAATGTTCCTTATTTTCTTTTGCCAAATAAGGACATGAAAAAATAAACTTGTCCCACCATCATTTTAGTAAAGAAAGGATGTTTTCACACCAATAAATAAGGGCATAATCCTTGATTAAAGGCTAATACCAAGCTGGAAAGTTTTAACCTTATTGAGAAAACAAAGCAAAACAAAAAGAACCTCACTGTTGTTCTGAATTCTCTCCTTTCTCCAAGGACTGGGGAACACGTCAGCCTCCACTGGTCTGTGTCGGGGGAACTCATGGGTCTGGGGACAGCTATTCTGGAGAAGGTTCCTGCAGAACCAGGGTTCCCTACAAACACAGGACCCCTAAAGCCATTGGGTTGGGCAGATCCGGATTCCCTTTCAGCTGTCCCAGAGGAGGCTCAACCCAAGCCAGACCCTACCTATATATAACCTTAGGAGCTGAGGTGGGGGAGGCTCTGAGACCCTGTCCCTGTGCCTCTCCCCTCAGGGCAGGGCCGAACCCCCCCTTCCCCGCCAATCCGGAGCAGATGAGGCGAGACTGAGCGGCAAGATCACCCTGGGAGGAGGCTGGGGAGACCTCTCCCCCTCATCTCCATCACCAAACTGAGCACTCGTGCCCATGTCACCCCCCAGCCCCGGCCTGGGGAAAGGAGGAAAAGTGGGCACCCTAGCCCGGAGGTGGCAGGGGAGGGGGTTGTGGTGTCCGAGGTACCCCGCTGGGCGGGCACAGATAGGATCTGAACACAGGGAAGCATGCCCTGGCTCTTTGATCCGCAGCCAGCCACGCCTGGCCTGGACCCGGAGGGAGGCACGGCTGTCTTCCGGCCCGGCTTTGCACCGCTGCCAGGGGTCCTGTGGGGCCCTCAGCGGGAGAGGCGTCCAATACCCCGCCCTGCCGCAAATACCCTCTATTCCAACTGCTCTCAGAAGAGGCGTGAGCGTCTACACTGAATTCAGCACAGAAACCTGCTAGGGGGGCTGCGGTTGACTGCATCGCGATCCAAAGGACCAGCGTCTTTTGTAGATTCAGTGGCTGAGCCAGGCCAAGTGTGCCGTGGAGGCCCGCGTGGACGCAGACCCGGGTGCTATGCAGATGCGCTGGAATCCAGGCACTTTCCGGCGCTCCGCAAATCTAGATGTTTCAGCCTGGATCGAGCGAGGGTTAGAGGATTAGTCAGGCCAGGGTCAACTTGAGAGTCATGTGCTCCCTAAATGCGACTTCTAGGGTGGAGTTGCTGTGGACGAGGGATCCACGTCGGAATCCCGCGCCCACGTGGCTGCCCAAAGCTCTGAGTCTCCGGGATGCAGGTTCTAGTCATGGAACCGAGTTGGGAGAGTAGCAGGGGCTGGGACTTGGAGGATCGGCTGAGGTCTGATGCTCTTGGCTGTGTTCGCGGCTCAGAGCCGTCGCCTGCCCGAGGGGCCCGTCACAGATGTGTGATGTACAAGCTCTGCATGCAACAGGAGCTCAATAAATGTGCGAAGGGGGTATGCTTGTGTTCGCGCTGTATGCAGGCAGTCTAGAAGGAAGTCTCTGATTGGCACAGGGATGGAGGATGGGGCAAGAGCCGCGACGGCGCCGCGGAGTCCCAACGCTGCCGGTTCCCTGGGGTCCGAGCACAGCCTCAAGCAGCCCCAAGCCCTAGGAAGCCCCTAGTTCAAAGCACAGGGCGCACTGGAGGCTGAGCACCATACAGTTCAAACCAAGGCTGCAGTGGTAAGCCACGCCCAAGTCCCAAGGGCCTAGGGGACTCCCGCCCTCGGCAGCTGGAGGAGAAACCTGGGCGCAGGAAGCAGGGGGAATATCGGTTGTAGCTGAGTAAGGGGGGCGTCAGGAGTTCCCTTTAGAGTCTCTGCGTTTCGGAAGAAGGGTGATCATTCTCAGGCTCGTCCGACTTCTCGCTCGGGGTGCGCTCCGGGAGAGAGCCCTTTAAGGCTACGCCCAGTGGGCGCGTCCCGGCCTCACCCGGGAGAGAAGGGGCGGGGCGGACCTGTGTCCCGCCCCCGGCCGGGCCCGCCCCCACCGCCCGCCCCGCCCCCGGCACTCGGCCGGCGGCGCCTTTGATGTTCGGACCCGCCAGCTCCCGGAGCCGCTCTGCCCAGCGCCCTAGCCCGCGCCTGCAGCCCGCCCAGGCGGAGTCAGCCCGCGCTCCGCCCGCCGCGATCCGGGCTCGGAGGTTCGGACTCCGGGCTCGCCGCCCCCCGGGCCGGCTGCGCGCCCCGCACTCCCCGCGCCCAGCGCCCCGCGCCACGGCGAGCGGAGCGCACCATGCCGCAGCTGGACTCAGGCGGGGGCGGCGCGGGCGGCGGCGACGACCTCGGCGCACCGGACGAGCTGCTGGCCTTCCAGGATGAGGGCGAGGAGCAGGACGACAAGATCCGCGACAGCGCCGCCGGTCCCGAGCGCGACCTCGCCGAGCTCAAGTCGTCGCTCGTGAACGAGTCCGAGGGCGCGGCCGGCGGCGCAGGGATCCCGGGGGTCCCGGGAGCCGGCGCCGGGGCCCGCGGCGAGGCCGAGGTCGGGGCCGAGGTGAGCCCCCGCCGGCGTCGGCTCCTCCCCCGCGGTCGCCGCGCCCCGCCGCCCCAGCTGCGCGCGGCCCTCGGGGTCTCCAGCGCGCAAGGCGTCCCTGCCCCGGCATCTGCCCCGATCCCCGCGGTCCCACCGCCCCTCACTCCCCTCCGGTTCTCCCTCCAGGCTCTCGGGCGGGAACACGCTGCGCAGAGACTCTTCCCGGACAAACTTCCAGAGCCCCTGGAGGATGGTGAGTTTCGGCCCGGCCCGGCCCCGCTTCCTCGCTCTCAGGCCCTGGCCTCGGTGGGACGGGGACGCCGAGGACCGCGGGAAGCCGGGTGCCTCCTCCACCGCTGCTCGGGAGGCGGCAAAACCCAGGGGTGGGGAGTGGGGGGCGGGCTTCCCGGGCGCCGCCGGGTCGAGTCACTTCCGGTGCCCTGACCTTTATAGGAGTAAACAGACCCCCGCCATCCCCGCCTCCCCTCCTGCCCAGGTGACTGACTAATCCGCCGTCTTCAGGAGACAGAACTGGCCAAGGTTTCTTGGTTGGAGGGCGAGGGGGGCGGGGGGAGGTCAAGTAGTGGCCACCTCGGGGAGGCCTGCACTCCAGGTCCTTCCCCTACAACTTGGCACTGCGGATACTCCCAACCCGTACCTTCCCAAGTCAGGAACTTGAAGGGGACCCCTTGGCAATTCTTTTTCTCTCAAGAGCAGACAGCCTTCAGTCCCAGCCGCCACCAGGGCTGGTGTGTCTGACCCAGCTGTGGTTTTTCCAGGCCTGAAGGCCCCGGAGTGTACCAGCGGCATGTACAAAGAGACCGTCTACTCCGCCTTCAATCTGCTCATGCACTACCCACCCCCCTCGGGAGCAGGGCAGCACCCCCAGCCGCAGCCCCCGCTGGTAAGTGGACCCCGCAGCCAGTGCCGCCCTGTGCTTGCAGCCTCCTTGACCAGGTAGGTGAGGCACCGGCAAGAGACTTCTGCCTGGAACGAAATAGACGAGACTCCTGTGCTGGTCTTTCTTCCCATACACACCCAGTGGGATCTGAACCAAAAGGAGAACTTTGCTGAAGGAAGGAGAGGCCGCCCTGGGGCACCCCCTTGCCCTCTGGCTCTTGGCTTTTGTCTTCCCAGCTTGCTCATAAGCAGGTGCAGTCTCTGTCCTGGTGCTGGGTGATGCCAGGGTGGGGTCTTCTTAGAGAACTTTTGAGTCGAGACCACCGTCGCTCCTGGCTGCTCTGATCTGATCTCAGAGCTTTGCAATTAACTTTCTAACTAGCCCAGGAAACCCTGAGCCTCCTTGGCGCTTGGAGGAGTGGGCAGGAAAGCTGATCTGTTCAGGTGCCCTGGTTGTGCAGGAGAAACGTGCTGTACTCGGCTGTGTCCTTACTGGCGTGAGTGCACCCTTGCCAAAGAAGGACCCTGAACACCATGTGTGGAAAGTGGGTTCTTAGGAAACTGGCTTGGTCTCAGACACACCAGGAAGGGTTGGCAAAGGTGCTACAAATCAGGGATGTTGAGAAGGGACCAGTTTAATGAATTCCGGAATTAAATATTTTTAGGTCCCAGTGCTTTGAAAACATTTCATGATCATTACAAACCATGCCCATTGGTGCAGATGACCTAAAGTGCGAAGAGCCTATTCTGAGTGCTTTGGAGCAGTACAGCTGTGCTTTTAAAGAAATTCCTATTCGTGTTTCACACTCTTCTCAGTTGGTCCAAGTTGGAGTGAAGGTACATGGAAGGTTTGGAGACTGTGGTAAGCGAGTGTTGGGTGTGAATGTAAGCCCAGTGCAGGTGGGGCTGGCAGGCTGGAGGCTCACATGGCTACAGTGGGGTCACCAGAGGGAGGAGAGTAACTGCTAGGCTGTTTCAGACCAGGAGTGAAGAGGGTGGTTCTGAGAGCTGCTGGATGCCAAGTCAGTGGGAGTGAGAAGACATACAGGCTTTCCAGAAGCCCAGGCTGGAAAACCTGTTATATGGCCAGCTCTAGAAATGAACTCCTTGCCCTTTGGGCCCCTATTTCCTCATCTGTAAAATGAGCATGTTTTCCAAGTGGTCTCTGTATCTGACTTTCTGCTCTGGAGTGGCTTGGTATATGAGATGGTTCACTTCCTTCCAAGTCTGTGAGGTGAGGGGCGTGCCCCCCAGCATTCCCGCCCGATGCAGTGACTATACCCAGAGAACTCACCCTGCATGAGCCCATGCTTAACGAAGATGCATTTTGGATCCCTACAAGATGTAAACCCTTAGATTTGGGACCAGGTTAACATAACTTACCAGTGCCAAACTTCTGACAGGTGAGCCACTTGCATGGGGGCCGGGGTCACCTTGGAACCATGATTAGACAAAAGGCCTAGGCCCAAGGCTCCACTCCAGCCTCCTGGGGCTCCACAGCAGCGCAGGGAAAAGGCCTCCTTTCGGAGGTCATCTAGTGGTGTGGGCAAGTGCTGGGGGAGTATCTGGAGCAGGGAAGGCCTTGTTCTGCTGTCACGGTATGGGTGATGGAACCATTTGGTGTCCTTTGGCCCACATGGGTCAAGAGTGGGCTCTAAAAGTCAGGACAGTGGGGGAGGCACACCACCACTGACCTGGGTCATTCATTTTTCACCTTTCAGTCTTTCTCAAGCTACAGCAGATACATTTCTATGTATCGCACCTGCTCCTATAGGTACATATCCCCTTGCCCTCCTCCCCACGCAGCCACAGTCCCCACTGTGTGGCTTCTGGGCACACATGAGGAGAAGAAGGACGGGCTCTGACACTGGCTCTCTGTGCCCTGGCCTCAGCTGCTCTGTGGGGCTGCAGAAAAGGACAGAGGCAAAGGTGTAAGCTGGAGTGACACTGGGTGAGGAAGATGTATGTGAATGTAGGGGAACCTCTTTTAAGCAAACCTGACAGTTATAAACACATAGCAAGTCAGAGTATTTGCTTGCATTACCTGAAGACGTGTGGGCATTTAAAATGTGATTGGGTTTTACCAAGCAAAGTGAATCCACCCCCACATTTTAGAAGCACATTTATCATTGGATTCAAGGTTCATGTGTCTGGAACCCGGAATGATCCTCTTATCTTGGGTCAGGAGCCCCTTGCAAGGGCCCTGAGGAAAAATTGCCTTTGGAAGATTTTTCCAAAGCTGGTCACTTTCCCAAGCCCATCTTTAAAGGACAGACAGCTTGCTGCTCGGGTCCTGCCACAGGCCTTAGATCCAGGCCCCCATGCCCTTTGTCCGGTCTTCTCTGAGGGCACCCATGTGGTCAACACTTAGCTGAGAGGCTTGAGGCCAGTCATTGGACCTCCCTTGGGAGTGGGGAAAGCCTGTACCAGGGACCTGCTCTGCCCATGTGGGTGGGATGCCCATGCGGCTGCTGTGTTAAGAGACCTCGAAACAGGCCAGCTCGAACCTTGCCGGGAGCAATGGGCTGAATGACCACCCCACAGCCAACTGCCACGGGACATACTTTTTTTTTTTCTTCCGAAAAGCTTCCTTCTTTTTGGTAGTTGGCTTCTCTTAAGCTTGTTAGAGGAAGAAAAAATTAGGTCAAAGTTTATTCCATGAACACTGTCAAGCACCTAATGTAGGCTTGCAGGCAGTTACTGGCCTAGACCAGTAACCAGGGTTTTTTTGTTTTGTTTTGTGTTTGTGTTTGTGTTTTCTTAGAGACAGGGTCTCACTCTGGTGCCCAGGCTGGAGTGCAGTGGTGTGATCTTGGCTCACTGCAGCCTCGAACTCCTGGGCTCAAGCGATCCTCCCACCTCAGCCTCCTGAGTAGCTGGGACAACAGGTATGCACTACCATACCCAGCTAAGTTTGTTTTTGTTTCTGTAGCGATGGGTCTCACTGTGTTGCCTGGGCTTTGGTTTGGTTTTGTTTTCTCTTCTCTGCTTTGAGACCTGAGAGTAGGTGGAGGTGGTGAGTGGGAGGATAGTGAGCTGATCTTAGGCTGTACTCTGGGGGGATTCTGGGATGAGTAAGGCATCGTTCCTTAGGCAAACTCAGGTTCCTGGATGCATACAGCAGTGTAGTCAGTCTTGTCATATCCAAAAATGATGTGAGGCCGCGTTGCGCTGTGGCTTCTTCTGTGAGCTCCACTTGGAGTCTGTAGCTTGGACAGATGCCGAGCCTTTTGCCATTTTGATGAAATATCCAGAATAAACACATCCATAGAGACAGAAAGAGGATTCGTGCTTGCTAGGGGCTGACGGAAGAGGGGCCCAGGGAGCGACTGCGCGTGGGTATGGGGATACTTTCTGGGGTGATGAATAGGTTCTGGAATTAGATAGTGGTGGCAGCTGCACAATCTTATGAATATACTAAAAGCCACTGAATTATATACCTTTAAAACAGCGTATTTTACGATATGTGAATTACATCTCAATTTAAATAAGAAGGCTGAAGCCTTTGGCTGTTGCAGGCTTGGGGCCATGTGTCCCTGTCCCTGATCTCCACAGCCATCCAGATGCCTAGGGATGCCCCAAGCCAGGGGGTCAGGCGTCAGGTGTCAGGTCCAGCAGAAGGAGCCTCACTGAGGCAGTGGACTCATGTTGGGACTCCCGGCAGGTCCAGAGCGTGCCCGGGGGAACAGTAGGTGAGGGTATGAGCAAGGCTCCAGCAGAGGAAGGAAGTGCTGCTGACGCATGGCCAGCCTGTCCGAGGAGCTTTGCAGAGATGAGTAGGTGCAGGAGCACCCACCGGCTTCCACATGCTGCAAAGCGAGCCATGGGCCTTGCTGAAAAGTGTTAGTTATTGGTGTTGAGCGCCAGTCCTGGTTGGAGTGAAGCCTATTAGGTGGGAATTTGGCACCAGGCTGGGTACCAGGTACTGGACCCCCAGACTGGAACCAGGCTCTTCCCCTGGGAGTGCCCGGCTGAGCAGAGGAGACAGATAGAGACCTGAAGCAGAGCTGGCCAGAGGAGTGCTGTCACTGAGGTGTCCCGGGCAGAGCCAGCCCCAGCCCCGGCTGTGAGGGAGGGTCCACTGAGCAGCACTCTGAAGGCCACAGGGTTTGGATGAAGACAGGAGGGACTGGCAGGCCCCAGGCTTCCCTCTGAACACATCCCAAACCTCCCTACTTCTCTGCAGTCAGCACCCGAAGCCCCAGCCATCGCCATCTCTCACCCAGACAGCAGCAACAGCCTCCAGAGGACCCCTCCCTCACCCCCTAACCCCCATCCTAACCCACAGTCCAGGCTTCATGTAGCAGCCAAAGGGGTCCTTTAAAAACAGAATCAGATCACATCTCTTACCTGATTAAACCCTGCATTAGCTTCCCATTGCTCTTGGAGTAAGGTCCAAGCCACTCACCACAGCTGAGCGCCTGGGTGGCCCCCACCAGCCGCCCCTCATCACCTGCACCAGCCTCTTGCTGTCTCCCTGACGGCAGTCCCCTCCCTGTCCTAGGGGGTCTTACAGCCAGCAACTTCTTTCCACCCCAGGACTCCTACACTGCTTCCCTCCGCTTGGAAGTCTCTGCCGCAGCCCTGCACATAGCCGCCACCTTTTCATTCCTCACTCAGGGCTCAATTCAGATGTCTCCACCTCAGGGAGCCGCCTCTGACCATTCCCAGTGGGACCCTCCTCATCCCTCGACTCTGGCTGCCTTGCCCGCCCTGGCAACTCTTTAGGCTCAGACGGTTGGCACTGCTTTACAATGCACTCACCATGCTTAACCCAAAGAAAGCCCGGCTGTTCATTTCCTCCTCTCCCAGAGTTGGAGTGAGGACCAGCAGCAGTGCCAGGGAGGGGCCCAGAGAGGTGCCAGTGCAGCCTGGCCAGGGGGAGTCAGCCATGACTGAACCCTTGTCCCTTGCTGGCCTGGCTCCCAGGGGGCCAGTGGTGGCTCACTCATGGGCCCCACATGGACTTGGGCACGGAGGGGTCTGGAGGTCTGAACCTGGGGA